TTTTACTATATCCTTGGGTGGTCTAAACTAGAAAATTACAAATTGAACATCAGCGGGATGTGAGGTCATTTACATAAGAAAACTTTCATACTAATTTTCTCTTGTGGAGCTTCAGAAATTGGTCAGATGCATCCAAATTGTTCTTTAATATCTTGTGTGTAGAAGTTTGGGGAACGGGAAGTAGTGTTGTTAAGAACTGATGCAAAAGTGATTGGTTCTACTTAGTAAGCAAGTAAGCTTTCAAAATTTGATATGAAGGAGATGTAAAGGCAAATCTCTGAATATAAAAAACAGCTAGAGAAAAACTGGTTGGAGAATGTAAAAGAAAGTTATTGGTTCTCAGAGGCAAGAAACATTTTGGGTTTAATACAGGGATTGCTCTAAAGTTTTCATTTTTTCTTTTTGAGATAAAGGTGAAGTGATTTAAAATGAATTCTGTTAAGAGGTTTAAAATAAGCCCATATAGGTCAATTTTAGTCATGATATTTGGTACTGGGATGCGGTCATTTGTTTTCTGACAAAGGTAATCATTAACTTTAAAGAGAAGGGCAATTAGATTGGAAAATACTATTTACCATGATTTTTTGCCCCAAAAATTACCTAGAAGTGATGTGTATGGTGTAGAATTGGAGTGCACCCAAAATGCTTGTGTTCCATAGTTGTACTTTTTTGGGTAATTTTCATGGGTTTGTATGTAGTATTGTTGTATTAGATTTTCAGGGTTGGTCAGCCACTCTAAAAAGCACATGTTTGTGGTGAAACGATCCAATTCTTTGCTGGGTCATGCAGAATTTCTAGGCCAAAATCACTGAGAATTTGTCATTAATTTTCTTCCCTTGATCAATCTTTATAGTTCTTCCCCCAATCTTATGAATTGTGTAATCATCTTTTGCAAACCATTAAGACAAACTGGATTTGTATTGTTATTTGATTCAGGCAACTTCTTCTGAATGAAGCACAATCAGTTGCATCAATTTGTGGTTCTTCACATGTGTTTCTTTTTGGTTGTGTTTCTATTTGGCCACCCTTGCGTAACATTTATGATCTACCATATAATTGTTCTAGTTTTCTTTTGAGATAAATTCTCAGAGTTTACTGGATTTTGGCTTCCTGAAATGTTTTAAAATATCTTCAACTTGACATTCAAGATGACTGTGTGTGAATATAAGTATTGCTAATAGACTCTAGAGAATCTTAAATTGCAAATTTCTCACTTTTTCTGTCCATATTCTAATCTTGAAAATGTGGTTTTTTGAACAGGTGCCAAATAATTCAGTTTTGACCTTGTCATCAGATTCAGAGTCTCCTCATAGTAGCCCAATTAGGGAAGGTTCTAAAGGGAAATCTCCAAAAAGAGGGCTGAAAAACAAAGATCCAGTATCAGCAAAGAAGAAAAAAGTAAATAGTGATATTAACAAAAAAGGTATGACACTGGAGGTTGAAACGACATCTCTTAGGATTCTGAACTGATAGTGTAAAGGTTTCAGATAAATGAGTTGTAACCTCTTTCATGAATTCTGAGAGATTATAATAAAATAATTTTCCTGTAAATTTCAATGACTCTCTAAATGTATTCCTATTAGTTCGAGTCTTTTATTGTTCTGCATTTTGGTACTGAGTTTTTTTGTATTTCTGATGATATAGAAAATAACGGTGATGTGGAGGTTGCAGAAGAAGAGATTGCTGAGAAACATACTGAACCTCATGTAAGAAGTTTTATTAGCCATTCAAAAGATTGTTTATATCTTTTATTCACCACATCACCTTGGAGATATATAAATTACAGTTCTCCTCCTCAAGGTTGCCTTTGGTGCTCTCTGAGAAAGCTAGCCGTTCAAAGGTATGCTCACCTTTTATTTGATTTTTTCATAATGGTTTCTTTGTTTTTGCCTCTCTTTAAAATTTGATTCAAGAATCTGAGTTGCTGTCTTAGAATGCGTAATAACCCTGTTCAAATCTACCAATATTCTCTGATACATCTTATCCTTTGTTGCTGGTGTTCTAGTTGTTGATTGTTGCAAATAGAACTCACCAACATTGGTCTCAAGGTGAGAGACAAGAAGTATCTTCTGGGAAGAAGTGATTTAGCAACCCTGTGTTTCCCTTTATTAATTTTCACAATTTAGTTAGTCCATAATCATAAACATAATACATTTATTAGAACTTCCATGTATGCTGAAGTAGTTGTGTAATATTATCATTGGGTCCTCTAAGGCGCCTGTGTCATATTTAATGTGCTTATCCTTGTACGATCAAGTCTGACTGGGACCTGTTTGGGATATGCCTGTTATTAAGTATTGTATTTTGTGCAGGCACTTGTTGAGTGTGAAGGTGAATCAATAGATTTGAGTGGTGATGTGGGTGCTGTTGGTCGAGTAGTTATAGCAGATAACCCATCCGGAAATCAAGAAATGTTCTTGGATTTGAAAGGCATGTTTAATTCCTTTTACATTAAGTTTCGATGGATCACTTGTTATGCTTCTATAGAAAGTGGGTCCTCCTAAATTTAAATTTATCCATGCTTCTATAGAAAGTGGGTCCTCCTAAATTTAATTTTATCCATGCTTCTATAGAAAGTGGGTCCTCCTAAATTTAAATTTGGTTTCTGTTTCAGGAACCATATACAAAACAGCCATAGTTCCTTCCAGGTCATTCTGTGTTGTATGTAATCATTCTCTACTCAATCGAATTTATGGTCTTTAATGTTTTGATTGATGTGATGTAACACATATTTCTTCTTGCTCAGGTTAGCTTTGGTCAGTCAGAAGCAAAGGTTTGTTAATCAATTCTTTGTTTCCTCTTCATTTTTCACCTTTGATAATTTTTTCCTTTCAACTAAAAAATGTTTTTTCCTTTTACCAATATTTTCCCTTTTTAGATCTTTTTCTTTCAACGCTTTTGCTCTGGTTTGCTGCCCATGCCCTTAGATTTGAAATTATAATATTTCTGATCAGATAGAGGCTATCATGAATGACTTTATTCAGCTGAAACCTCAATCTAATGTTTACGAGGCTGAAACCATGGTTGAAGGTTAGAAGTTCTATTTGAGGTTTTCTTTCAGGATATTTATATATGACTCAAGATCTGATGTTGTTTACTTCGTAATTTTTGTGCTTCTTTATATTCAATCATATATCAGGAACACTGGATGGATTCTCATTTGATTCTGATGATGACGCTGACAAGATGCCTAAAACCGTCACTAATCAGACTGATCAGAATGAGGGCAATGGAGAGCAATCCAACACAAAAACTAAAACAAAAGCTGAAAAAACATCAGTATGCTTCTTAACCTTTCTCAGTTCATTATGTATCTCATTGAATGACAAGATCGTATATTGATTGTGCAACATGTCGTAATAAAGAAATGCTAATTTATGAGATCATGGATGTAGGGGGTCGTGCGAAAAAGGAGTGGTAAAGCTGCAGGAGGAATGCCACCCAAGAAAGTAAGAAAGAAAACCCAAGCTCCAAAGAAAAGCAAGACTAAGAAATGAGAGATGCTACTGAATGTGCTAAATTGTGGTGTGTGGGCCGACATCAATTCTCATTGGTGAAGGAAGAAGTATGGTAACAACAATTTATATTCCATAATTTGTATTTTTTTAATTTTTAATTTTGACATTTGTCGAATTTGAAAAAGAGCAACAAGAAATTGTTCAGCATGCCCTCTTTTTCTGGGGGGTTGTGAAATTATACATGAATTGCAAATCAGGTTAAAGTCTGGACTTGAGAAACAAATTACACTGTTAAATTGAATGGTGTGGTGCCTGACTATGTAAATTACAATGAAAGTGAATAATGGTGAAAATCTGAACTTCTCTTTTCGCCTCTCTCTTCCCAGAGAATAGTATTTTAGAAGAACAAATTCAAGAAAAGGACTATAAGGATTATTGATATTGATGAAATGGGTAAAAGAACTTTTGAGGAAGAAACCATGTCTGCAATCTTTCCATGACCCTGTTGTTGTTCTTGGTATATTGGTGGACTCTGTTGTTCTTGGTATATTGGTGGAGCTGGTATTGTATCATTTGGTCTATTCGTCCTGCATGAACAAGAAAGTTAAATTTTTATGTATTAAGAAAAATAGTTAATTCACTTCTATTTCCTAAACTATTATCATTTTTCCTATTGCTTCCCTTAACTATTAATTTTATCTATTTAGTCCTTAAAATTTTATTTTGATGATTGTACAAATTAGTAATTGTTGAAACCTAATTTGATGGTAAAAAAAGTCATTCTAAAATTTAAACAATTTAGCCATACAACCAAGCTTTAATTTTTCTTTTTCTTTGAATCAACTACTCCCCACAACTAAATTTCTTGTTTTCCTTGCTATTTTGAATAAATTAAATCCCACAGCCAAGTTCATAGATGTTTGTTTGTATGGTTTAAATTTAAATTTTGAAAAGACATTTTTGCCTATCAAATTAAGCTTCGATAGTTATTGATTGTACAATTGGCTTAGGAGATAAAGATGAAAATAATTGTAGCGGGCAAAAAACAAGTACCCATTGGTGGTTGTTGAGATCATGGGGGCAGAAGATGATGGAATAATCATAAGCCTTGCAAGTGAAAGTGCTGGTGCCATCGTCAAAGGCATAGCTATAAGCTCTGGGACATGCTCTCTTGAAAATGGTTGAATAAAAAGATGGCCTGCATGTACTAGGGTTTGCAAACTCCCCACTGCAGCAATATTGGTCCAGCCCAACCCAAGAAAGTAAGAAAGAAAACCCAAGCTCCAAAGAAAAGCAAGACTAAGAAATGAGAGATGCTACTGAATGTGCTAAATTGTGGTGTGTGGGCCGACATCAATTCTCATTGGTGAAGGAAGAAGTATGGTAACAACAATTTATATTCCATAATTTGTATTTTTTTAATTTTTAATTTTGACATTTGTCGAATTTGAAAAAAAGCAACAAGAAATTGTTCAGCATGCCCTCTTTTTCTGAAGGGTTGTTAAATTATACATGAATTGCAAATCAGGTTAAAGTCTGGACTTGAGAAACAAATTACACTGTTAAATTGAATGGTGTGGTGCCTAACTATGTAAATTACAATGAAAGTGAATAATGGTGAAAATCTGAACTTCTCTTTTCTCCTCTCTCTTCTCAGAGAATTGTATTTTAGAAGAACAAATTCAAGAAAAGGACTATAAGGATTATTGATATTGATGAAACAGGTAAAAGAACTTTTGAGGAAGAAACCATGTCTGCAATCTCTCCATGACCCTGTTGTTGTTCTTGGTATATTGGTGGACTCTGTTGTTCTTGGTATATTGGTGGAGCTGGTATTGTATCATTTGGTCTATTCGTCCTGCAAGAACAAGAAAGTTAAATTTTTATGTATTAAGAAAAGTAGTTATTTCACTTCTATTTCCTAAACTATTATCATTTTTCCTATTGCTTCCCTTAACTATTAATTTTATCTATTTAGTCCTTAAAATTTTATTTTGATGATTCTACAAATTAGTAATTGTTGAAACCTAATTTGATGGTAAAAAAGGTCATTTTAAAATTTAAACAATTTAGCCAGACAACCAAGCTTTAATTTTTCTTTTTCTTTGAATCAACTACTCCCCACAACCAATTTTCTTGTTTTCCTTGCTATTATGAACAAATTAAGTCCCACAGCCAAGTTCATAGATGTTTGTTTGTATGGTTTAAATTTAAATTTTGAAAAGACATTTTTGCCTATCAAATTAAGCTTCGATAGTTATTGATTGTACAATTGGTTTTGGAGAAGGAAAATGTCTCATAGCTCAAATTTTGTGGCTCAAAAGTGGCTCAAATGGCCAAAACGACGTCGTTTTGGCCATTTTTATGTTGTTCTGTACTCAAAACGACGTCATTTTGGCCATTTGAGCCACTTTTGAGCCACAAAATTTGAGCTACGTAGCATTGCCGGAGATAAAAATGAAAATAATTGTTGGGGGAAAAAACAAGTACCCATGGTGGTTGTTGAGATCATGGGGGCAGAAGATGATGGAATAATCATAAGCCTTGCAAGTGAAAGTGCTGGTGCCATCGTCAAAGGCATAGCTATAAGCTCTGGGACATGCTCTCTTGAAAATGGTTGAATAAAAAGATGGCCTGCATGTACTAGGGTTTGCAAACTCCCCACTGCAGCAATATTGGTCCAGCCCAAATGCATTGCATGCACTCTTGCATGCTACCACTCTGCCACCGCCACCGCCACCGCCACCACTGATTTCCTCTCCTCCACCATCCTCGCCCACCACCTGGAGTTCTTTTGGACAATCTGAAGTTTTTAACTTTCATCAGTTTAAGCTTAAGGCTATGAAACAAACCTAACTATTCAAACTCGACACGTTAGATAAACAAGTTAAATTTGAACATATTTTAAAACTCGTTAAGTTTGATAATCAAACTTTCGAACTAAAATTGTGATTAGCTTGATTAAACCTCATTTGATATTGGTTTAAAAGAATATATACATACATACCCATGTTGATGTCTGCAACACAGCCTGTGGCATTGCACTCACCATATACCCCTTGTGGTGCTGCAACCAGAGGAAGATTGTAACCATCCACAATGCTAACATCATAGTAATCTTTCTCAATGCCAGTGCCGAGCGTTATCTCGAACAGAGATGCAGGCGGTATAGCTCCCATGCCATCGCATTCGAGCCTGCCACCGCAGTCCCCTGTTTGACACGTACCCACCCCTAGCTCATTAAAACTGCAGCCTGTGCGTGCCCATATCCGACCTGACCACCCTGGAATTGTCGGAATGCTGACACTTTGGCTCGAGCCCAACTCAAACCCTGTTGTCGAAAGTTGCGGAGTCCCTGAACCAGCAAGTGTCCCAGGCCAGATTGTAAATGGGCAATTGTTAGTAATAGTGAATGTATAAGCAAATGAAGAGGAAGTGAAGCAAATGGCAAGAAAGAACATCCATCGTGTTCTCATTACGGTGACTTTGTTCTTTCTGGGTGGTTTTCAAAGTGGGTGGCCACTGCTACATATTGTACTTGTGAAGAAGAATCTGAATATTGTTGTTGTTTGTGGACATATGGATACTATAGAAAACAAAAAGGGTTAACATTGCTTTGTTAAATCAATCAGCCGCAAGATCTTTTTGGGTTTAGTATTTCTTTTTTCAACTTGGATGGCCTCACTTTCAAGCAATTCCTTTCTTTACCTGTTGCAAGGACCATTGTTGATGAGGGGAACAAAATCGAACGTAAAAACAGTGAGAAAGAATCATCAGAAGGCCCCCACCAGCATGTCAATCTGATAGCTTGGAATTGAATCATGTCTTCGAATAATATGAGATATTTACATGTGTATTTGAAGAATCGTAAATGGTGAAGGAGGCAGTCCTTCGGCAGACCTCAAGCCGGGCCTGTTTTACCATCTACTATCTAAGATTACAATCTCTAAAGTTTTTGTAGTGTTCAAAGATTTTAATTTCTTTCTCAAAAAAAATTAGTTAATTAATTTCAATAGGAGTAGGGCAAATGGAAAAAACAGCAGCTGATCTTCATGAAGATTGGATACTTGGTCTGCAAGGGATTCCATTAGAGACGGTGCTGATTCCTGTGCTCATATAGGACTTGGATTTTATTTTTATTTTTTTTACTAAATTTTTTTCAAAAAATAGACCACTTCATAGACAGACAAAAAAGTCAGAAGTACAGATCTAATACATAAATCAAGCTTCCCACAGATCAAGGGCCAAGTAAATCAAAATACTACTAATCGTATCATACTAACAGACCTTGTACTAGCAATACTACCAGCCATTATCAAAAGGAAAAATGAAACTTTCCATCTGAGGGGATTCTGGAGAAGCAGCAAAGCGAGCAAAATGAAAAATGTTACATATATCTGTTTCTTACCTCCTTTTCTCAATCTAAGACACAAGTGAGTGTATCCCACATGCATTTATGAATGTGGATCTCATTGCCTTGTGCCTAGGAGTGAGAAAATGAGATAAGAAATAAGATTATACATAACATTGCTCAAAGCAAAAGCATGGAGAAGCTGGTTTCTACAACAAAATGAAACACAAGAAGAGTGAATATAAAGCACTCGAAAAAGATTCATGGAGCTAAGCTGGCCGCAATTTCTCTACATCCCTTCAGCTAATCCAAACAAAGATTTGGAGTTAGCAAGGACACTAATACAAGTATAATTATATTTTTCAGCCCACTTTAGAGCACACAACAATGGTGCAAGGGAGCAAACTGCCAGCAAGTACTCATTAGAGCAATCAGGAAGAAGCAGAATTACCAACCCTAAAGTTAGAGCCAATATGTAGATGGCATTTTACAAGAAGAGGAACTAGTCCAGCTGTTGACCCAAAAATATAAGAGGCAAGATCTTTTGCTAAGAAGAGAGACTGTAGAGGAGTAACTTGATAAAATGAAAAAACAACTCAATTCTGGGATTTCCAGAGGACTTGGTTTGACAATTAGATTTGATATAGCTAACAATGCAAAACATTATGTTAAAATGGATACTATGATGACCTTTACTATCTAATAAAAGGGGGGTCTGCTCTCATTATGAATTTTTCTTACCCACCCACCCAACAACAAACAACAATTTGCTCATCAATTAGTGTGTGTGAGTACTTGAAACATAAGACAATACGCAGCATTTGCAGAGTGAATACAACTGACCTGAACAGACATGTCAACAAATCACAGTGGAAGGACGCAGCCAACATGGAACATAATCATTCAGGCACAAAATAACAGTAAATCACATTTTATACAAAAAACATTAAAAGCATTTACTGAAAATTTATGACAATACCAAAATGATAGAGCCAATCTCTTCAAGCAACTACTTCCTCACAATCTAGAACAACATTCAAATTATAACTTCTTAAGCCTACCTCTAGAAAAGACATCTCTTGAGGAACTTGCCCATTTGGTAAAAAAGTCGAGCACAGATTGTCCTGCAAATTGTATCAAATAAGGACACAGCAGGGGAATCTTCAAACAGGAATGTCTTGGAACATCATATGATGCAGCCACCATGTGGATAACAGGGAAGATAGTTCAAATCAGTTTGGTAGCAATGCATATGAATTAGACAATCTTCTCAAGTACACTCTCAACCAATAAAGCTAGGCCAGAAACCAAATACTGTGTTGAAAATAGAATAAAATAACAAGAAATAACCCTTCAAGGTTATTTTATTGAAAAGGGGTAACAAGCGCCATTGCTGCCTTCACAAAGCCATCCAAGCTATTGTTCCAATATCCAGTGGACCAACTAGGGCTTTGGAACACAAAAATCCATTAATAGTAAAGCAGAAGATGCTCCACGAATTTTCTCACTGCATATGCAACAATTGGGCAATTGTTTCACAGTTAAGGTTCTTCCTTGTTGCCATCCAGCATAAACCATGTGAAGTTAACCTCAAGTCAAGAATGCTGTCCCAACTTCATATGTCTGTTACAAATGAAACACGTAAAACTGGCCAAATCAACCTGCAGCAATTGCATTTCTACAGTCAATTAGCGTCCACTGTTCCCCACTGCAATAAAAAGTTCTTCCCTCCCTGCAAGAACAATAAACAAAATGCATCAGAAATGCCTAACTTTCAGTCCAATAAACTTCCAAATTACAATTGTTCAATCACATGCAATAATATATTTTCAACTCTCCTGAATGGCACATGCTTCAACCTGCAAAAAAAAACATTAGCTTCAGCAAACCACCAATTAAAACCAGCATGAAAAAATAAACAAACAAAAGAAAATAAAGCATAAAATAAGAAAGAAACCGCATTGTTCCTCTTCAACCTGAAACACAGTTGGAAAAGTAAATCAATGAAAACTTATGATAAAATTCTACAAGATCACAAACCAAAAATGTCTTCCCCTGTACCCGGAAAACCTGTACAACATGTACCAACCACATAGTACCCAAAGTCAAGGAGCATATTGCTTCCGGTGGTGAAATTTAGCAAGTTCCAATTACCAACTACCAACTACCAAGTGAATTACAATAAATATAAACATGAAATAAATTCAACATGTTTCACAATAATATAAGCAACATATCTCTTAACACAGTATGAAAAATACACCACTTCGAAACAGATCATACCAAGCCCAAACAAAAAATTAAAAAAATATCAAATGAAGCTACTGACACAGGGCTTGCAAAAGAACCCTGTACTTGTTCCAAACTTTGGTGCAGTAAAAAAATAAAACTCAAGCTTCACCAAGAACCCTGTGCAAAAGTTAGTAGATATATAGCATTGACAAATCTTCTATAAAAAGTCAAGCTAGAGGAAGCATTGCAATCCATTAAACAAGTTTAGAAATATAAGTCATTCCTACAGAGACATGACATATAAGGTCCTCCATTAAAGTACCCCGCATCAAGTTCTATTATTCATACTTGCCGCATTTTAAAAATGAAAAAAAAAAAGAAGGAAAAAACGATAAGGAGATAAAAAAGGAAAATAGGAAACAAAAGAGAGTTTATTAATTATTATGCCTAGCTCATGTCCATGCCATCTCCAATTTGACTGCAGATTGGACCAACAGCAACAAAGGATCTCTCAAAAGCAGAGGGATGAAGCTGTGCATCCCTTATGCGCTTAAAAGCGCAGCTGTCAGAGGGGGAACTCTCTGCATCAAGCTTCCTCCGGACACCTCTCACTGCCTGTTCCTCAGCCGGTGTTAGAGGAAAAACCTGCCTGCTCACTCTGCAAAGGGAGCTATGGTTATCATAGACAATTCTCTGGTTACAGTTTTTGTCACAGATGTGTGTAAGTCCAGTTAGTCTGCAGCGGTATATGTTTCCACATACGTTTTCATTTTCACATTTCCAATCGCACTTGTGAACAGGGTTTGGCCCATCTTGGCCTAGAATACTTGACAAATAAATAACATTTGAAGGCACAGCTACCATAGATTTTCCAAATACCTCCATGCTTCCTTAGATGAGCAAACTTCAAGATCTTTATGAGAACTCCACACTCCGAAAGGACTTGCCCCAAAATGCTCTGCAGAACCCACCACAACACGAGAAACTGTAAGTCCAATGCAAAGGGGCCTGTGGCTCTAAGGAAGATGATAATGATGGTGATGATAATAGTGCCTAGAGAACCATTAACTTTGACTAAGACACATCTATAGTGGCTTACAGTGTACAGTCAAACCAACATTGAGAATTTCTTAGGGGTATTCTAAAACAATAATGCAGATAACATCATAGAACCAGATGGGAGTATATCATATTTGAGACCTCAGATCAGTTACATGTCAATCCCTATAAAGCACCACATGCACCTCTCTCTCTCTCTCTCTCTCTCTCTCACACACACACACACACACCCCTCTTGATAGGAAAACTAGTAAACAAGTTAGGTTTATATGATCAAGTGTGCTGACAAGAGCAGAGAATAATAGGCTGTTTTAATTATCAAAAGCTATTAATCCTCCAAATTTGATGATATAGGCAACTATGCCAGTTAATGTGGCTAAAAAATAGGTGTGATATATCAATAGTGTTCCAGCTAGATGGCACAGTGATGGAACTTTGTGAAGACTATCGGGATGCCATGGCCCGCTTGCCTCAAGAACACCAACCCCGCACCCCCCTTCTCTTTTATGTGCAGTGCTATACTGTAAAATATCAGGCATTGTTTCCTTTTGGTCCCCCTCCCCATGTCTTTAACCTTGCTTTATTTTTAATGGTTGTGTCTCTTGAGTGCTTATTCATTAAATTACAGCACTATTATGGCATGTTTGATTGGAAGGATTAAAGCATGGGATTAGGATTATTAATCCGTGGGCCCAATCATCCTATATTTGTTTTGACATTTTAGTTTAGGACTATTAATCTAATGGATAATTAATCCAACAAATTTGTAGGATTATTAGTAATGGGGTAGGGGTGGGATAACTTCCCCCTCCCCATGTCTTTAACCTTGCTTTATTTTTAATGGTTGTGTCTCTTGAGTGCTTATTCATTAAATTACAGCACTATTAATGTTTTGTAACAAAACATACCATTGCTTAAAATAACATTTTACCCAAGGCATTCAATTTTATAAAGAGTAACAGTAAGATTACCAGTTCAACTGTTGTCGGACTAAAGACCAAAGTAAAAACCTTTCATAAAGAGTGAAATGCCACTATCATTCTTATTTCACCAATGTAAGATCAGAGCATTTCTGAGTGCCATCAATTCCACAAATGAAAATTATGTTTTAACTATAATTTATCCACTTCTAATTGATAGCATGAAAAACCGATGGTATAAAAAGCAACTGCCACTTGGCTTGACCCGTCTATTAAATGGAACTAGCCGGAACTAGTCCCATGTGCTCCTTCTGGCCCCCCGTATGATGAAATCCTAAGTCCGTCCTGGATGGCAACGGATCTTCTGTAAAAAAAAATTTCTAAATCTCATTGCCTATCTTTTAAGTGTCCAATTAGTGGACATCCCAAAGGGGTTATCTCCATGAACAACCCTACAATTTATAGCTAGATCATTAAACTTCTTCCTTATCTAGCCGTTGATGACTATTTATTCTCTGTGTTCATCATACTCATTACAACAATGATCTCGGAAATATTAAAATCTAAAAACAGACAACAAATTGCCAACAATTTAACCACACCATAGTTTACTAGTGTCTTTCCAGGCTAACAAAACAGCATAGTTTGTCAAACTAGTGATATACAAAAGCCAATTAGAGACCATAAACAAGTACAAAATTCAATTTGAGTACCTTCCAAAACATCAAACAACATGACCACAAAAAAAAAAAGCAACAAAAACCCTAAAAAAGATGAAAGAAAGAAACATTTTTCAAATACATACATGATACACAACTATACAGAGTGAACTGAGAAGAACCCAACAATATATAGATGAATATACACAAATAAATGAACAAATTATAAGAAGATTAAAGAGAGAAGGGGACTCACCAGCAGGCAAACAAACAAACAAACAAACAAAAAGAAGATCCCCAAGCTTTCTCTCTCTAACTCTCTCTCTCTCTCTCTACACCTATTCTCAACGCCCAAGCTCCTAGTGTAAAAGCTAAATATGGCGAAATAGTGGGAGCAATGGGGTTGCATATTTATAGAGAGAAGACATGGTGATCCGATTATATGTGACGCGTTGAAATAGAAGACTACTGGATGAGATTAAACCCAAATGCGAATGAAATTTTGCCCAAATGAGAGCTTGTTCTTCCTGGGCATAAATTACAAATGCTAGTTTAAAAAATTATAAATAAAATTTTTTTATTTAACATAATTAATTAAAAAAATAAAAAATTTAATTACTCTCTTATATAATAATAAAATTATTTAAATTATTAATTGAAATAATTTTTTAGTATTATTAAAAATTATTAATTAATTTAATAATTTATTAATAAAAAAATTATTTGTTTTAAAATTAAAAATCTCAAAAAATATAATATAATTTTCATAATACTAAGAGATAATTTGTGTTTTAAATAAATTTTAAAATTTGTGTGTAATTTATTTATTTATTTTATTTTTTTTATATGAATTTGTCTCCGCTTTTCATTCATGATCACGTGCTTTGATCCCTGCCTGTCTCCATCTTTTGAGTTTTTTGGAACGTTAGAATACATGAATTTCAACTCTCACTTTATTATTCTTCATTTAAAATAAAGAAAATGCTAGAGACCCCAAATAATTTATTAAATATTTTATCAAACCTCTCACATGGGTGTAGGATCCACACAAACCCACATGGGTGTGAGTCCCACACCCATGTGAAAAATTTGATAAAACATTTAGTAAATTATTTGAAACCTCTAGCATTACTCTTAAAATAAATAAATAAATATCATTTATTATCATTATATCCATTTCAACCAAACAATCTACTCTTTAAAGCCAAAAAAATAAAATAACATTGTTGATGAAAAATTACAATTCTAACCTTATATATCACATCCAAGTATAAGATATTTTTTAGTTTTTTATTTATTGGTTAATGGTGTAGTGGTTGACCACACCAATCTTTTTCACCCGATGTCATCATGGACAGACCTTAACACAATTTCATTTTCACGTCCCCAGCACTAGAAATGGCAATAGAGCGTGTTTGGAGTGGTTTGCAACGGCTTATTCTTATCTCATATTATGTAACTTTAAAAATGAGTGTTACCGTTGATTTTTTTGACTTTTGAAGGTTAATATTATAATTTTAAGCGTGTCAGTAAGGATCAATCAATTTTTATAGAAGATTAATTGCCAACTAATTATCAGACGATTGTGTTTTACTTCTCTCAGCCTCAATGAAAAGAACTTTTATTGGTGGTTTATTTAAGAAAATTTAGTAAATAACAATTAAGTGAAGAATAATTTCAGAATTTCATTAAGTAAAATAAAAAATTTAGATCAATTGTGTTTTACTTCTCTCAGCCTCAATGAAAAGAACTTTTATTGGTGGTTTATTTAAGAAAATTTAGTAAATAACAATTAAGTGAAGAATAATTTCAGAATTTCATTAAGTAAAATAAAAAATTTACAATGATCTAACCCAGCCTTGTAGAGGTTTACAGCAACAAGGTATTTGAAACTACTCCTATGAATGAAGTACAGTGCAGAAATTTGAAATACAGAAATGTAAAGAACTGTAAAAATTAGAAGAGAAAACAAAGTAAATAAAACTGGTTTTTTAATTTCAGTCTAGATCCTTCATTCTGGGGTCTTCTCTGCTATTTATACTTCTCAATGATAACCATCGAAGTGGGCTTCTAATTATCAAAATGTCTTCCCATGATTATTGAACATGCTTTCTCACAGTCAGTCTCACTACGTCATCTTTGCAGTTAGGCTTCTCTTCTGATTTTGAATTTGAACTTTGTGAGTAACCATTAGACCACATCACCTTATATCCCCTAATCGTTCCAGTGCTACATAGATCCATTATTATCAACAGGAGCTGACACGTGTCTGACTTTGGTTTGCAACTTATATTAACTCCCTAAATTACCCTCTTCATGCCACGTGTTGAATTGTGATTGGCTTTTACAAATTATACAGTCAACATTAATATACTCAATACTTGATGATAGTAGTGGATCAAGGCACTTTACCCATGTCCTAAGACGCGCATGGGCTTTGCATCTTCTTAGAAATGCAACCGACATCATTGCAATGTTTGTACTGCATTAAATTCCCTTTTACGCCTTGAACATTTCCCATTATTTGAGCATTCGAAAAGGCTGATACAGTCCTTCTGGCCAAGCAAACCTTTTCTTACATTAATCGAGTATATGAGGAGTCTATGAAAGATGATTATAGGCCTCGAAAGAATTTTAATGCATTTATTGATTACACCTCTCAGCCTCCATTTATGCAAGTTATGGAAGCTTTTGCAACGTACCAACTTTTAGACCCAAAGTTTGCCAATTACAAGCCCTTGGATCAAGCATTTGCAAAAATGGATCTTGGAAACTCTTATTCTGCCTCACCATCTTTTGCATGGGACACAACTGCTTCTTTCTCTACCCGACCAACCTCTGCATGGGACACAACTGCTCCTTTTTCCTCCAGGTCTACTGGCTAGGGAAGTTGGCCAGAACCTGATGAATCTAAACTAAGAAAGAGAATTCACCATTGATTCGTCGAATTCGCTAATCCTCTGTCTATCCCATCTTTTGCTTGGAGCTCGGTGGTTTACCCCTATGTATCCATCAATCATCGACGCTGTCTAGAGGACAACTTACTTGTAGCGTGATACACATCTTCCATACCTACAAAGCTAGTGCGAGCAACTCCTCGTCTAGAGGAAGTACAAGGATACAATCCATCATTCTTAGCTAAGAAGGAAAAAAATTGCTTTTCTGACTGGCTTGAATGTGTGAATAACCCCCAGTTCCCTTTTTCCTTTGGGATGGATCCTCCTGCACCTCTTCTTCCTCAGAATCCTCACTTGATGGAGGAACTGAAACTTATTCTCTTCAAGAATCAGTT